GACTGGGAGCACCTGGAGGAGAGAGGGCAGGACATGGCCCCGGGGGGTCCCTGAAGGCGGGCAGGGGAACGGCTGCCTGGGGGCTCCCGTAAGGAAGCGGGGACTCGACCTGCAGAGACTAGAGGCTGGTGGACCAGATACCCTCGGCTGGGAATCTGGGGGCCCGAAGGCCTAGGGTCGGTGTTCGGTCTGTATAAATGGAACTGCGCCTAGGACGAGCCCCCTTAGGGAAACGGAGGGTCTGCGGCCCGGTGCGCCTCTATCGGAACGGAATGATACTACGCTTCTATCCCCCATCTCTTAAGTGAAATTCAACCCTTCCGCCCCAATAGAACCCAGAGGAAGTTCAAGGAGTCGGGTTTTTACTGCGGATTCTTTGGCGCTAGCTTCCAGCTGACAAATCAACATTTCAATCTGACAATTAGTGGTCGAGATGCGGGGAGAGGGGCTCTGGCTGCCAGGACCGTTTAACCCTCCCTGCGAGCAGCAGAGAGGTGGGCGGTGCTGGCAGTGATGAACGACTCCGAGGGGGCCCGGGGCCCCGAGCGCGCATTCATTACTCTTCTGACAGGCGGGCGGCGGGCCTGGCGGGCCGCGAGTGGACGTGCGGGGAAGAGGCCTGTGGCAGGAGGGAGCGTGAGGGACGCGTCCGCCTGGTCAGCTCCCGGTTCTTCGCCTCGACCTTGGTACTTGACTTACTTATGCGTGGCCTCTCAGCTGTCGGGGCCGGCCCTGGCTGCAGAATTTGGAAAGCAGGGACAGGGACCTCAGCCCTCTTCAGGTTAGGCGATTTCAAATCTGAGATGCCAAGAAAGGGTGTGGGCAGGCCTTAGGGCTAGAAGCTTTTGTCTGACCTGGGAGGAACTGTGCGGTTTTGCGTGTCTATGCACACAAAGGTGGTGTGTGACAGGGATTGATGGCTGTGGATCACGCGTGGGGGGCAGTGATTGTGTGTGTTAGTGTTAGGGAAGTGTCGGCCTGATTTTGTCAGCGAGCTTCGAATGTCTGAGGATGAGCTGCAGCCGCTCCTTGCTGTCTGTGCCCCTCCCCACCACCACTTGCTGTCAGCTCTCTGTCTTCAGTTCTGTAGGAAATGGCAGTGTGCATGGTGACAGCTGAGGGGTGCTGCTGGGGTTGGGAAGATAGATGTTACCTGTGAGAATGCTGGTCTGGACAACTGCTCCCTTCCCCACCTCCACCCCCAAACATCATCCTTTGCTCAAGCTTCCTGAAAGTAGTGGACATTTATCCCCCAAAGTCTGGAGACCCAGCTGCTGAGGAAGTGGTTGCTACCAGGTTTCTATAGTCCACACACCGTCTCCGTCACATATGCAGTCTCTAATATAAGATATGATCTCAACCCTCTGGCTTCCCCAGGCCTGTGGTGAGCAGAGAGGAGGAGCTGGATCTCAGGAAGGGAAGAGGCAGACCATCAGACCTCCAAGACAGCCTACCTCTTCGGGGCCTGGGCTATTGGTCCCTGGGATTCTGACCTTGGATCTCAGGACCAGTTGACACCTTGGGAGGATAATGCTAATCATATTCTAATTTCTGTCCCTAATTACTCTATTCACCTGACTTTGTCTCCACTCTCCTACCCACTCTCAAACACACCAAGAGGTTGATCTTTCTCCCCAGCTCTGAATCTCCCTGGTCTCCAGGGCAGAGATTTTGGGTGATTCTGAATCTCCGTTTGTTCAGTGTGTCTTCCAGCCACCTTCCCTTTGCCTTGCTCTTCCTTATGTCAAGGGTATCTCTTGGACCCTCTATATCTTTGTTCCTGCAGCCCTTCTCCTTGTGTCGACATGTCTTGACATTTTTTAAAAAATATGTTTTTATTGATTTTTAGAGAGAGAGGAAGGGAGAGGGTTAGAGAAATAGAAACACCAGTGAGATGAGAAACATCATTGTTCGGCTGCCTCCTACAAGCCCCCTACTGGGGAATGAGCCTGCATCGTGGCATGTGCCCTGACCTCTTGGCTCCTGGGTCGAGGCTCAACTGCTGAGCCAAACCGGCTGGGCTGTCTGTCTTCACATTTAGGGATCTTTTCCAGATTTCTCTCTCTACATTTTGGGGTCTCTATGTTCCCCTGGGGCTTCTCCCTCGGGGAATACCCCAGGACAACAGTGAGGCCTCCTTGGAATGAAGAGAGGGAGTAGGACTTCCTTCCTACTCCCATCCTGTGGCTACTGCAACCCAAGATGGGCAGGCAGTGTCAGGGCCACGGCCAGGTCGCTTCTCATTCAGGGCACAGGCGCCTGGTCGATGCCCCGCGGTCCGCCCCCCTCCCAACTGCCCTTCTCCAGGCCCTCGCCCCCTCCACCCTCCTGGAAAAGGCAAATTTGACATTTTTAAATCCCGAGCCTTAGAGGGATCGATGCGGCCCGGGGGCCCCACCCGGGGTCGATATTCCTGATTGGGAAGCGGCCTCAGCGCGGAGCGGGTGTAAATCATGCGAACTGGGAGAGGGAGCTCCGGGATGCAACCGCGTCCCAGGCACGTGGAGGCAGACAGGGTCCCGGCCTTGGGGCGGGGGCGGGGGGACCACAGGCAATGGAAGGACAGTCTTAGAGACCCGGACACCAGCCCGCCCAGAGCCCCCCTCCTCCCCTGCCCAGCTCTGCCGACTCTGCGGGCCGGCTCCGGTTTCGCTTCAGCGGCCGCTACCCTCCGTTGCCCCTGGAGCCGCCAGGGAGGCCGGT